CATGTAAAAAATGTCTACTTTCCCTCCACTCTCCTGGAATCACATGGAAATGCCAGGATTTTCTGGAAAACAATCAAATGTATCGAAAAGGCATCCAAAACAGAAAATCTGCCCGTTGCGCATAACCGAAATGGGGAATATTTTTCAGATCCCAAAAAAATAGTTGACAATTTTTACCTTCATTTTTCTGAAGCTGGTAATCTTTTTGATAATGTATTGGGAGACACCCCTGCTCATGCAAATTCCTACACCCCTGTCCACACATTAAACGAATTTAGTTTCCAGCCAATCCACGAAAGTAATGTTCTGAAACAACTGTCCTACCTCAAAGGGTCCTCCTCTACCGGAGCAGATAGTATTCCCGTCTTTGGTCACCTAATATACAAACCTATAGCCCATATTTTCAACCTGTCCATCAAAGAAGCATCAGTTCCTCTAGAATGGAAACATTCCTATGTCCGTCCACTTCAAAAAAGGGGGCCCAAAAGATGATCAAAATAGCTACCGACCTATCTCAATTTTGTCCCTGTTGATGAAAATTTTTGAAAAATTATTGACCTACCAAATTAGCAGTTTCCTGTCCACCAACAATCTACTACATCTAAAACAATCTGGGTTCCGAAAAAAAATACAGCACCACATCTGCTGCATTAGACTCTCTGAATCACATTTACAGTAGCCTTGATAATTAGCAGTACTGTGCCTGTCTTTTTCTAGACCTGTCCAAAGCTTTTGATACAGTAGACCATAACACCCTGCTTAGCAAACTAAGTTGCCTCGGTTTTTCCGAAAACGCAGTAAGATGGTTGCAAAATTACCTCCTTTCTCGCACCCAGACTGTATTCACAGATGGTTGGAGGTCAAACAGTGTTAAGATAACAAAAGGGGTTCCACAGGGTTCCATCCTCGGCCCCCTTTTGTTCTCTCTTTATGTCAATGACTTGGGCACTGACCTGGATCATTCCAGGGTAAATCTTTTTGCAGATGACACGATACTGATTATTGCTGGCCGCTCTCCGGATGACGTGATTGCTAAGCTACAGGGTGATTTCAACAAACTACAAAATCAGCTAGTTGTTCTTAAACTAGTCCTGAATACCCCCTAAACCAAGGTGCTATGCTTCTCACCAGGACTAAAGCAGGAAGTTATTTTTCCCCAATTACATTCCTTAAATAATTGTCAAATAGAGCAAGTTAAGATCTATAAGTATCTTGGGGTCATCCTGGATTCAAAACTGAATTTTGAAGATCACATTCATTATATTAATAAAAATACAAAAATAAAAATTGCTTTCTGTACCGACACAAGCACTGCTTCCCCCCAATGTTCCGTTGGAATTGATAAAAGCTACCATACTGCCTCTACTTGACTACTGTGACATCGTGTATAAATCAGCCCCAAGTACTGTACTGAAGAAGCTTGATTCCATCTATCACTCGGCCTTAAGATTCACATTGAGCTTCCCATATAGGACTCACCACTGTGATCTCTACATTGGGTCAAACTTAACATCTCTTAATGTTCGACGGCTTGTGCACCAGATCTTATTTATTGACGATGTACTTACAAAAAATCCGCAGACTACCTGTTGGATCTCCTCTCTGTTTCAAATAACACGTTTGATCTCAGGTCTTCGCTCATTTACCAGCTTCACATTCCCTATTGCCGTACAAAAACTGGAGGAAGGGCCTTTGCTATTGATGCCCCCAGGGTTTGGAATGCTATTGCCAATAAACTGCAACTTGAATCGCTACCAATGAGATCTTCTCTCAAAACTGCTCTACAGGAGTTGTACACCCTTAACTGCCACTGCTATTCATTGGCGTAAAATAAAATAAAATGTTTCGCTCCAGATGACGCGGCAACGTATTATCTGTATTTTGATTTAGGGTGCTGATCTTAAAGGTACATTGAAAAATTTTATACTCCGACTGATGCTTCTGTTGTTGTGGAGTAACTCATGCAGCCAGCTATGGCTCTAGGATTTGGTGTTACATGTTATTTATGTAGTTTATTGTAAAAATTCGGTCACAGTCCCTGTGATCACTGTTACGTTGCATATATGGCTTTATTTTTTGGTGATTTCGAAAAGTTTTTTGGTTTGGACATGTTTGTTTTGTTGTAGTACGGAGTTAGACTGATGGCCTTAATCTAAGTTTTCTTGTGGTTGTTGTTGTTGTTGGACTTGCATCCCACTGGGATTTTTTGCACACAGCGTTGGTGTACAGTGCTTTTTTCAGGAATATTTTGCTGTTTTTTTCATGAATTTTCTGTTTTGCACAGTCACATAGTCACTTTAAGATGTTTTTCTTGTTCGTGTTTTTGTTTATTGTTTGTTGTGGTTGCACCCGATTCAAGAGCCGAATGGCTCACAGGGCTATACCAAAATAAATAAACTGAAACTAAACTGAAACTGAAGCGGCACATGGGACGTGTGCCGTTAAAACCCGGTTTCTGAGCGGTCAATGACAAACTACTGTCTTGAGCTGCACGGCTGAGCGGTATGATACGGGACGCATGTATGTATGTATTTTGAGCTGCTTTCCCACCGTACATAGGCAACCACGCTGGAGGTGCGGAATGATGCGGTAATGCAGCGGCGCACCCTCAGTTATTCGTCCCACCGTCTCGCCGCGTGTGTGTGCGTCGTATCTCGCCGAGTTTTACCCTGACGTTATTTATTTACACTTTTCAGGAACGCATCTACCGCATTAAACGAGGAATTACTGTGTCCACGAGGATGCAAAGGAAGTCCGCGCTGGGGGGGGGGGGGGGGGGGGAGCTCCCCTGTTCACGCAGCTCTCGGTTACACAGAGGGAAAGATGTAGCCGAGGGTTCCCAGGTCTCTGTTACGTTGGAAAAATGAACGCAGAGAGTTGTAACGCAACTAAAAACAATATAAAGGTGAAAACCATTGACAGGGTAATATTTCTCCAAGGTAAATACAGTTCGCACGTTCTGATGTGAGTCAGTTTGGCATTCGCAGCGCTTTCACTCCTGGAACCGGGTCACTCAAGGGTTCTTTGTCACCAGAAGCAACTAGAGGCCTACGGAATTGATGATGAGCTATGTGCAATTCAAATGACCTTTGGCTTCGGTCAAAAACACCAAAATATAACATTTGTCACCAAGCTAATTTTTCGTGTGTTTTTTTATGTTTAAACGCTCCTCCCATTCCTCTTCATGTTTCAGTTGACAGCTGAGGGAGTAGTGTTTGTGAAATGGAGAAAAATACGGGCAACATGTCGGGGACTAAATGTTATAGTTGAGGGGCTAGGGGGAGGGGCGTCAGGTGGGGGGGGGGGAAGGAGTGGGCAGCAGGGTGAAGCTGACTTAAACTGTTAATGTCACAACCATTGTATTCGATTTACGACAATAATTGACGATCCTGTGCCTTGCTGCAGATCTTCCCACTTGGGTGCTGTTACACTGGTGAATGATGTATGACATGCGAGACAATTACATGAGAAATATAGAAGCCACAAGTATTTTATTTACGAGCGTAACTGCAACTATTTATATATGAAATGATTTTCTTTTTATTCTACTCATTCATAACGTAATGTAAAGTTCAGCTCGCTCTCTGAGGAATCTGGTATTGCTCAATTCCATACGTTTTTTTTTACATTAATTGTTTCGTAACCCCTCTGGTGAGTCCTCATATTTTGACAAATTGCAGTCATGTTTCAAAAAAACATAACCGGCGTAATCTTAGGCAACATACGTTGCGACATTCTACGTATTCTGTGTCATTTTGCTACCCGTAACAACTGTCGCAAAAACGTGGATAAACCAATCGCGGGGTGAGATAACCTGGAGGTACCCGGGGAATCGTGGACGCTCCGTATAATATGTACACACAGCGAATCGATGCCCTTTCAATCAGGCGAGATCCAATTGAGATGCATTATCTCTTCCGCTGGACAAACTTTGTAATCGCGGTTGTGTTCTTTTTGTATTGTCCGCGATTAGGGCCAAGATTTATACCAAATGATGTCAGGTAATCCATTTTGTTTATTGCCAACTAGTTCACAGCCGACCGCGTTCTGAGTTAATTGCAATTTCTCCCACGATGCATGTGGCAGGAATTGAACTAATGCCTCCCCGCACACTGGCTTGGCGGTTGGCTCGTTGGGGAGAGACACAGAATCAGAATATTTATCTATACTGGAGGAATCCGATGAGCTATAAGGCTCTTTTTTCACAGATGTCCAGCAGGATCGGACGGGGCTCATGTGTGCAGCTGCATACCCAGCTCATCGATATGTAGCATTCAAACTGTGCTTCTACCAAAGCGTACATTAAATCAGAATGTCACTGGCTTTGGAAAACAATGACAGTAATTGCAAATATGTTGGATTTGTATAACATTACAACTGTCTTAAATGACATCTACGTTCAATCATTATACACTTACGCGTTTACAATGATGCAAAATCTCAAACATAGTCTGAAAAACAACTGCCACTTAATTGCGCTCGTGCCTTTCCCTGGATGCGCCTCTGTGTGTATGATGTGTGTGTATTTGTGCGTGTGTGTGTGTATATATTTGTACGTGGGTGTGCGTATGGGTAGTGTAGCGGGTAGCGCACTGCGCTACGAACCCAGCAACCCGAGTTCGGTTCCCGCTCACGGCCAACACCAGCGACGATTATCTGAACCGGTCCTAGGCCTCGCCTAGCTCGACTCAGCCTCAAATGAGTACCTGGTGCGGTGTGTAAACATCGCCACCGGGGAGACAAAGGCAGCCGGGCGTGGTGCTGGCCACCCACCCCCTAGTGCACCGTGGCGGCCTTCATTAGGTGCTCGCTAACAGCACTTGCCCCAACAGTCTATTAAAAGTTATACAGGGGATCTTTGTCTTTGTATGTACAGGTGGTTCTCTGCTATTGCGCTGCATACCAATCCATACGCCTGGCTGTATTGACGTGGGCTCGGAGTCTCGCAGGGTCAGATGAAGGCCGCTCATCGCCATGCGCGCGTGTTTTGTTGTTCACAGCGACCTCAATGGGAATAACATCACGCGCATCAGCAAGGCGGACTTCGGAGGGTTGCGCCAACTACGCGTACTGTAAGAGCCCACTCGCCCACCTACCACTCGCGATACGCGATCGACCCCCCCCCCCCCCTTGTCGAATCAACCCCCCCCCCCCGATTCCAAATACCACCTTCGATTATTTTAATTTGCCACGGAAACATATTCTCCAGGTCACCGGCTAGAATGCTGTGTAGTAGGAATAGCAAGAAAGGTATACTGAAAGTGGTGTGCAGGGCTTGAAAATATTTTCCGGGTCGATGGAGCGGGTACACAACTAGTAGGCATGCAGACGGTAGTGACAGTCAAAGTGAGTAGTATAATGGAGGTGGTTTGCTGGGTGTATAAATATATTTTAGGTCACCGACCTGGACAAACAATATATATTTTTTAAAATCCTAATAATCTTCATATGTTTTGCCTTATCCATGTTTTTGTTTTATTCTGGGGCCCGCTGTCCTTCCACCAGCGTCGTGCCAGATAGTAGAGAGTTGACCGCAGTTGTTTGCGAATGGTGAACCTGGCGGTGATAGTTCTCTAGCGTTGTGCCAGATAGTTTAAAATTGACCGCAGTCATTTATGAATGGTGAACCTCACGATGGTAGTTCTCTCTTCCACTGCCCTGTCGTCTTCGCGTGGCTGATCCATATGTTTTTTTTTCTCGCCCGCCTGCTCGTTCACAGGCAGCTGATGGAAAATCACATCGTCGCGATTGAACGCGGCGCCTTCCAGGACCTGAAGGAGCTCGAACGACTGTGAGTACATCGCCCAAAAAAAATATTTCCGTGCCCGGCACACAACATCCAATGTACCTCTCGCTATTGCTGTGACGACGAGCTATGAGCCACGTGACACCTGTTAGCCACGTGACACCCACTAGCAATCTTGAAAATATTCAGTGAAAAATAAGGCCCCTAAAAGTTGCTCTTGTTTTCCCTGATTATCATTAATATTCATAATTAGTGAATAAAAATAATTCCCATGCTAAAGATTATTATTATTTGGTCCTACATGCAAGTCTGTTATTCATCCCTCTCTTATATAACTTGTATATATCTTGAAAAGGAATTTGGTTTAAGGTTAGTAACTGAGTTAGGTTTAGACTAACTTCGGACCAAAGTCATTGTATGAAAAAGTTACATTATGCTGTATTTACGTTGAACTTATTTCGCACCGTACGTAGCAAACTGTGCAACGTACAGTTCATGAAGAAGTTGGGCAACCAGTAATTTAGTGGAAAATGCATGGATATATGGTAATGCAAAGAAAGATTAGTCCGTTCAAAAAATAAGAGAGAGCACAAATATTTCAGAAAGGGGACCAATAATCGTGAATGTCAGTTCTGAGCGGGAATGCACATTCGTTCTCTCTGGAGCAATTATTCGGGAAGAGGGGGGGGGAAGGGGACCACACACAATCTCTGATCCCTTCACGACAGCACGTGTGTTCTATTACGAGTGGCACAAATACTAAATGTACTTGTTATGCAAGTGTAGAAACACGCACACGACAATTGTCTGCAGAGCCAGGGGTGTCCGCCGTTCTTTGCGCCGGGGTTCAACCCAAACTCCTGGAGTGGTCACGCGCGCGGAGCTCGCTTTACAGGGCGGCTTTGCGTCGGCCCAGGCTCCTGAGCCGTCCCAGCCCAATTTCAATTACCGGTGGTGCAGTGAGACCCACGGTCTGTGCCTATTGTCAGGGATGCAGGGACTACACTGGCGGAGTTTCTCAATTGCAGCCACTCACAAAGCAGTATTTTCGTACGTGGGATTTCTTTGGCAGATGTTAAACTCCGTTGTGAGAATGTCGGGGTGTTTTTTTCTTTGCTCGCCTCGCTCTTATTAAAAATATATATTTCATGGATTATTTTTTTGTCCGCCAATCATGTGACACGCATTTGTTAATTGAAGCTACTGGCTGGCTGGATGGCCCCTGCTAATGAAAGTCCACAAGCTCCGCTCTGTACACGCTGGGGTCCCGATTCACATCTCAAGGAAATGCCTAAAAACATCTCAAGGAAATGGCTAAAAACCAATCGGTTAGGTGATCTGCAACATTGTTTGGCTTTGGAGAGACGATTTCAGAAAAATATATCTGATGAATTTTAATTTTAATCACTGTGACAACCTAGCCCTGAATCAACCCTTAGATGCTTCGTGCTTCAAGAAGCAGTGCACATGATAATTGGGTCATCTTTGGGTCTTTCGGTAAAGTCACGTAGGTAGGTTCATTTTCTATCTACGTGCCTTTACCGAAAGACCCAAAGAAAATGAATTCCTGCAGTCACGAAAGCTTTAAGTCATGATAACTGGGTCTCGTGTACCTAGAGAAAGTGTGGGTGCTGCCATCTAATCTAATATGTTAAGCTAGCATGGAAGAGTAGGCCAACAATACCTCCTAAATAGAGGCTGTATAGCTCCCTCTGGTGGAGGCTTTTTCGTGAGCAGTGGTGTGAGCCAGTAATGGCAGGGCTGCGCCTTTACCTACATCGAAGGTAGGGCGCGGGAGAGGTGGTGCAATGGTTCTCGCACTGTTGTTGACTCGGCGACCTGAATTCGTTTCCCAGCCACGGCTAACATCAGTAGGTGGGTGTCTGTACACCCTCCCCCACCTCCTTCGCAAACCCACTCTGACTGGCATGGTGAAGTATGACCCAACAACTCCAATTACTGACACAGCACGGTGCCAGAACTTCATCCAGATCAAGCAGACGGTGGCTGGAAGTTATCTCTTTTTTATTTTCTTACACAGAGGGGTTAGATTGTAGCGGTGTCCGTGACGGTGCGCCGTCGAGCGCCTATTACCCTCCGAGCTGTCAATAACGGACTGTGCTGGGGCGCCATTTAGACGCCGCTGTCTGGGTGCTCCGCTCGGGCCGCGCGCTTTGCCGTACGGCGAGCGGTGAACAGAGCGGCGGTGGTGGCTGCCGTGATCACAAAGCTGTGCCGTGTAGCCTGTCATTAACCCTGAGCCACAATTTCCTCCTTTACAATTTAGCCTTTGCAATTAAGCCTCTCTTGTGCCCTCTATGATATTCGTGATTTTTTTTTTATTGCGGTTAGTCACGCTAGTTTGTGATTGGGCTAGAAGAACATTTTTACCTGATTTTCATAATTTATTTATTCCGTTCCTTAATTTAATCCTGATTTGTTTGTCTACAGTGGATGTATACATTTGTCTCGGAGATGCCAGTGGAATCGCTGAAGACAATGTTTCTCAACTCCAGTCCTCACAGATCACCTTACACCACAGTCCACCTTCTTAGCTTCACCCATATTGCCTATCCACATGTAATTTACACCGCAGCGCACTGCATAAACCCGATGGTTGGTTATCATGGAAAGCAGTAGCGTGGGTGGGTCACGATTGAACCAACTGCAGTTGAGAAACGCTGGCTCAGAAGTTCCACGGGCTGCTCTTGCATCGAGGTCCTGTGTTCGCCTCGTCCATTCCCTGTGGCCCAAACGGTTTATTCAAGGGGCACCATGCCCACGGGGCTGCACTGCATCTTAGCGGCAATATCCTGGGGTCAAGCTGCACAAAGACCCAAAACAATGGCAAGACGGATTTGCTGTTGACACTGCTTGAGGTGGCCTGTATGGAGAGTAATTATGCCGCACGGTTACCCAAATCTACGTCATGTGACCAAGATGGAACCCGGAATTAAATAATTATCCGAAAAATTATGGGGAAGGAAATATCTCACCAATTATGATGATGATGATCATCATGCTTCTCCAAACGTCCATCTCCGGACGTTTTGACAGCCAATCGTGATACCTTTTAATCCCTCTTCATGCAGAGGGGCTTAGCCCTTGCAGCAGTCAGAGTGGCAACCGAGCGATATATCTTTTCTGCAGGACAAACGGATGCTTTGTTGGGACCTCCTGAGCAGTTTACCCGAGGAAACTGGCACGTGGATCGGCAGGAATTAATAATCTTTCATGAGTTTGCCGTTGAAACATCTGGAGATGCAATTACTGTGGTTGGAGAAGCGTCATCGGCATCTTTGTGAGATCCTGCCTGACCCATTATTGTTTAGACACGAAGAAGCAGCCATGTCTAACATTCTGCAACTTTCAACAAGTGGATATGATTCACATTAATTGTAAGCATATATCTTGACTTAAAGCTTTCGTGACTGCAGGAATTCATATTTTTGGGATCTTTCGGTAAAGTCACGTAGATAGAACAATGAAATAATACAAATAAAAATGAAAATAAAGTGAATAAAAAATATAATTTAACTCCATTTTTATTTTTATTATTTTATTGTTCTATCGACGTGACTTTACCGAAAGACCCAAAGAATATGTAAGCATTTCTGTTATTAAGTTATAATATTCACATTAAAGTCAGTTGTAAATAGATGTTATTTTTTTGTATCCTTTCCAAACACTGAAGCTTAGAAGTATCGTATTGGCAGCATTAACATTGTCCATTCATATATGATACAATCCAATTGCGATTCACATCGCGTCTCAATGGAGCTATATCTTAAGACACTATTTGGAAAAGTGGAGCATGCGCATGACCACAGAGATGAGAGGGTGGTGCGTTATTGAAGCAAGGCGCGATTGGGAATCACACTGCACACACCGCTACATAAGGCGATAAAGCCACAGTGGCTTATAAATATCCACAAATCACGAAGCACTGAAACAAACTAATCTACATTGAAAACTCGTTTCTTTAGAACTGCTTTTCGTTTTTTTGTTTGTCGTCCTTCCCCCGCACCTCCGATTGGCATGGTTGGCTACGTATGGTGCGCATTTTTTTAACGTACAACAAAATAAATACGTACGTACAAATCAGGCTTGACGATTACAGTTACTTGAATGGAACACTGAACGAATATAGGGGATGGATTGAGGGTTGGTCCCCATGAGGGACGACGCGCTGCCAATCGATCCGACGTCCTTGCCTACTTGGGATGCGGACGTCCCCTGTGGGTGCAACACCGGCGCCGGTAGATCGAGCGTCTCGAACGTGGCCACGGCTCCGCCATCAACAATTTTTTTTATTTTCGCTGGACGAGTTTTTTGTTGTTGTTGCAATTTCCAGAAATTGATGTCGACGAATTTGAACGTCACTCGCGGTAGCCGCCCGTGGGATCTACCGACGTCCGTCTGATGCGAGGACGCAACGTCTGATTGTTTGCGGGTGACAAGCACGTTCTGTTTTGTTACGGCGAGACGGAAAGGGGCTTTGACGAGCATACTTAGAGGCCCTCTTTTTTTGGAACGTCGTTTTCGGTTCAGCGCTGCTCCACATTTCGCGAAAAAAATTGGCGTGGCATACCATTTTATCTTTGTTTTTTTGTTGTGTGATTGTGAACGCCAAAATAACGGGCCTCCCGCGCGTGGCAGAAGATGATGCTACCACAGCACTCATCCAAGTGGCTGCCGCCTCTAGTACCGCTGCCAGAGATTGTTAACGTCGCGAGGACGCTTGGCCATAGCCGCATCAACAGGGTCAAAGTGATCTCCTGCTGCTCAAACGAACATTGAGGCATCAAATCCTATTTACAGTGGTGGAACTTCCACATTCCTATGCCAGGGTGCGCGGATGATGGGCTGAGTCCAACCGCTATCCAGGATTTGAAATTGCAACTCTATAATTGTGAGCCAGCTGTCTCCTAGGACGCATCGCGTTAGGTATCAACACCTGCCATGTCGATGGGATGGGGGGCGCGGGGGGGCTGGCTGCAGTGGTTAGCGCACCACACTATGAACCTGACAAACTGGGTTTGATGACTAACTGTGTCTAAATCCGGTGGCGAGAGGTATTTAAAACCAATCCTGCATCCGCCCCCCCCCTCCGCCCCCACCCCCTTGGCTTCACCAGCCCACACTGTTTAGCGTGGTTAAGTAAGTATGGTCATGCAATCCCATTAATTGGCATGGCGTGGGGGGGATACCTTCATGCAGCAGTGTATTGACAAAGGCTTGTAGTATCAACAAAGCTTTATTGATATCTGAAGCACTCTTTATTAACATGATATTGTTACAGTTTTCATCATTTTGCAAAAACCATGAGAGTACTTGACAAAGCAATAGCGAACCTGTGGATGTATTCCTCGATCGATTATTTTAACTCGCAATGCACGCTCTTGGCAGAAGCACGCTCGATAGCATGCTCTGCGGCCAGGAAGTTACCGTTGCACAAAGGTCAACAATTATGCTTCTTGAAATCTTCAAGAAAATTTATTGAATTTGACATAAAAACAAATGCCACAGTTTGTATTTGAGCGAAAAGTCAATTTCCTAAATCATCGACATTTTATTTCCTGCACCATTTTTATGCACACCAGTTAAGGTCAGTTATTATTCTGTGCCAATAAAGGCTTATGTCCACAGCTTACTGGGCAATGTAAGACCACGTGACTTGACGATAACATCACAGGAATAGGCAACGCATGTGACAATAAGCAGGGCTCCGGCCAAACCGATGCATGGTTCCAAGGCGTGGCATCAGTGCCATTTTACAACGGGCATTGTGTCATTAATCACGTGATTGTTAGTAACATTACTGCCCCCCTTTCTTCATCTGCCAGTGGATTGACAAAGGGGGCTGTAAAGTATTTATTTTGCATTGCATTTAACCCATGAAAAGCCTCATTGAGCGCCGGTAGAGTACAACAATGGATTTTGCCGCCTTGCTCTCTGCTAATAACATAGCCCCGCAGCAGCCTACAGCAACCTGTTTCGTGCGCGGCGGTCTCCCGTTTGCCCATCCATCCAAGCGTGAGCCAGACTCCAAAATCCTGCTTAGCTTCGGAGATATTTTGCACCTGCAAATATGTCGGTGGAAAGATGTGTCAACTACCTCGCCTAGTATACAGGAGGTCGTGGGTTCAATCCCAACCTTGACGGCTGTATACTTGGAGTTGTTACGTTTCTCTTCCCGTGGTTGCATGGAATTTTCTCCGGGTCCTCCGGTTTTTTCCCTCCACATTTAGAAACACGCGTTTAGAGTATTTGGCTGCTATACATGTCCACATGATAAGCCACTTCGTTGAGCTATCATTTGTGGACAGGTCGCTTCTGAAAAAGAGCTACATAGCTCAGTGGGCCTTACCTGGTAAAATAAAAAAAATAGTTTAGTTTCCATAAATAGCGAATTTGTAGAACAGGGGCTTCTGGGGAGTTGTGTTTTTTTTTGTCACATTGAACTTCAGGACTGCGACTGGTTTTTTTTCCCCTGACACGGAGGGATTATATAGTAAAACAACCCATCAGGCTCGGTGTTTTGGTGGTGTAACTGTGACGCAGGTTGAATCGCCGGAGAGATGCTCGGTTTAATAAACATCCATCGGCAGAGAGAACGGTGGAGAAGTGAGCGTAATTAATCTCGCCTCGCCTCGTTTCGCTGCCATTAGCAAACTTTATTTTTTTAAAGCACCTTGCCTCTGGGGATAAAATTAGCACAGCCGTTACAGTCTCGTTAACGTGCTGCTTAGAAGAGTGTGTGGGGTTTTTTTAAAATATAATTTTCACACACCTACAGTGAGGGAAAAACGTATTTGATCCCCTGCTGATTTTGTACGTTTGCCCACTGACAAAGAAATTAGCAGTCTATAATTGTAATGGTAGGTTCATTTGAACAGTGAGAAACAGAATAACAACAAAAAAATCTAGAAAAACGCATGTAATTTTTTTTTTTAATTGATTTGCATGTTTATGAGGGAAATAAGTATTTGACCCCCTCTCAATCAGAAATATGTCTGGCTCCCAGGTGTCTTTTATACAGGTAACGAGCTGAGATTAGGAGCACACTCTTAAAGGGAGTGCTCCTAATCTCAGCTTGTTACCTGTATAAAAGACACCTGTCCACAGAAGCAATCAATCAATCAGATTCCAAACTCTCCACCATGGCCAAGACCAAAGAGCTCTCCAAAGATGTCAGGGACAAGATTGTAGACCTACACAAGGCTGGAATGGGCTACAAGACCATTGCCAAGCAGCTTGGTGAGAAGGTGACAACAGTTGGTGCGATTATTCGCAAATGGAAGAAACACAAAATAACTGTCAATCTCCCTCGGCCTGGGGCTCCATGCAAGATCTCACCTCGTCGAGTTGCAATGATCATGAGAACGGTGAGGAATCAGCCCAGAACTACACGGGATGATCTTGTCAATGATCTCAAGGCAGCTGGGACCATAGTCACCAAGAAAACAATTGGTAACAAACACTACGCCGAGAAGGACTCAAATCCTGCAGCGCCCGTAAGGTCCCCCTGCTCAAGAAAGCACATATACATGCCCGTCTGAAGTTTGCCAATGAACATCTGAATGATTCAGAGGACAACTGGGTGAAAGTGCTATGGTCAGATGAGACCAAAATGGAGCTCTTTGGCATCAACTCAACTCGCTGTGTTTGGAGGAGGAATGCTGCCTATGACCCCAAGAATACCATCCCCACCGTCAGACACGGAGGTGGAAATGTTATGCTTTGGGGGTGTTTTTCTGCTCAGGGGAAAGGACAACTTCACCGCATCAAAGGGACGATGGACGGGGCCATGTACCGTCAAATCTTGGGTGAGAACCTCCTTCCCTCAGCCAGGGCATTGAAAATGGGTCGTGGATGGGTATTCCAGCATGACAATGACCCAAAACACACGGCCAAGGCAACAAAGGAGTGGCTCAAGAAGAAGCACATTAAGGTCCTGGAGTGGCCTAGCCAGTCTCCAGACCTTAATCCCATAGAAAATCTGTGGAGAGAGCTGAAGGTTCGAGTTGCCAAACGTCAGCCTCAAAACCTTAATGACTTGGAGAAGATCTGCAAAGAGGAGTGGGACAAAATCCCTCCTGAGATGTGTGCAAACCTGGTGGCCAACTACAAGAAACGTCTGACCTCTGTGATTGCCAACAAGGGTTTTGCCACCAAGTACTAAGTCATGTTTTTGCAGAGGGGTCAAATACTTATTTCCCTCATTAAAATGCAAATCAATTTATAAAATTTTTGACATGCGTTTTTCTGGATTTTTGTTGTTGTTATTCTGTCTCTCATTGTTCAAATAAACCTACCATTAAAATTATAGACTGATCATTTCTTTGTCAGTGGGCAAACGTACAAAATCAGCAGGGGATCAAATACTTTTTTCCCTCACTGTAAATATAAAGTTGTCGTGCTTGTTTTATTGCGTGTTTTTTTGTGAAACCTCCAAAAAAATGTGGCTGTTCATAGACAAACCTATTTATTATCTGTGTCGATTTGTGTATGGAATTGACAATACATCCCAGTGCAGAACCTTTATTAGAGTAGACGTTTAGCACTCATTGCGGGGGGGGGGGGGGGTTGTATCGCACACCCACGTGGACAGCGGCGCTGCAGGATGAGGCCCCTGCCACGTCCTGCGCTTCACGTTTGGTTATTTGACCAGAGGTCACCACACCGCTCAGTGTGGATTAGGTGGAGACGCGGAGCGTATACGTGGGAGCATAGAAGTAGAGTGCAGCAGTGGATTTCGCGACACCGTAAATAGGACGATTGTTTATTTTGAGCTAGGTACTGTAACGTATTCTATGTAGAGTATGAATATGTGTGTGTGTGTATATGGCGAGCGGTAGTGTGGCGGTTAGCGTGCTGCTCGAGTTGCCGGGTTCGATTCCCGCTCATAGCCAACACCGGTGACGATTATCTGAACCGGTCCTGGGCCTCTCCTAGGTCGACTCAGCCTCAAATGAGTACCTGGTGCGGTGTGTAAAAACATCGCCACTGGGGAGACAAAGGCGGTTGGGCGTGGTTCTGGCCACCCACCCCCTCGTGTGCCGTGCCAGCCTTAATAGGTGCTCGCGAACAGCACTAGCCCCAACAGTCTGTAAAGGCTATACGGGGGTTCTTTGTGTTTATATGTCCACTTGAAATATATAAACTTGTAGCACTTTGTCAATCTGCTACTAAATAAAGGCCTCCCAACGCCATTCCGCTCATGGGGTTTGTGTGACTGTCCTTTGTATAAATACACACACACGCTATATTCTTGTGTTGTATCTAGATCGTAATTGTCTCAGATTTTGACGTCTTCTCTTGATACTTTTCGGTGCCACGTTTAAGAGGGGGGAGATGCCACCTTTGCGACAGCTTGTGCTGCACCCATCACGGCTCAATCTGGGCAAACCCACGTTCATTTTGTTCTCACACGTGTGTTGTTTTTCATCTTGATTTGAAGCTTTCGAGACTGCAGGAATCCATACTCTCTGGTTATTTCGGTAAAGTCACGTAGATAGAAAAAATAATAATAAAAGAACACGACGTTTCGGTCGCAACACAAGCGTCCGTCATCAGGTGAGGTGTGTTGTTTTTCTCCGTGCCTTGCTCACGTTGACATGATTTCCCTCACGCGGCATCTTGAGGTGAACTTGAGTCTGGATGCTTTGCAAATTTGCACAATTCAAAAAAACGCACGACTTCTCTCCCCCAACTCCCTTGTGGTGGTCGTCGGCCAGGCGCTTGAACAGGAACCGTCTCGCTCTCCTTCCCGAGCTGCTCTTCCTGGGGACGCCGAAGCTCGCCCGCCTGTGAGTACAGCCGCATTTTTTCTTTCTCACCTCCGATTAGCATGGTTCACTACGTACGGTGCGAGAGAAGTTCAGCATGCATACATGCACACACACCACCGCCATGGAGCGAGCGTACACCGGTGGTGTCGTCGGAGAGCGTGCAGGCAGTGCAGCTGCACCGCAGGTGCCCACAGGCCAGGAGAGGCCCAGGCAATGGGCTATGAAGAGGTGTCGAGGGGAGGGGGGTAGCATGATGCTCAAAACACCGCCCCCCCCCATTTCATTCCTCGTACCACCAGGGCCCAATGCCAACCCACGCTCGCGCCACTGCATTCAACACGGGGTTGCGTCGAGGTCACGTCCGCGACCGACTCCACGTCCGTCACCTGTTGAGCATGCACAACGCCTCCTGTGTCTCTCTTGAGATGCGCGCGGACCTCCACCACGTGACACCGTGGCGGGCGCTAAAGCGTCGCCGAGCCGACGCGTCGGCAGCGACACCGCGCGCGTGCCCCCCCTCCCTCTCCCCCCGCTCTTCAACTCGTGGCACCTCTCTGCCAAGCGCGTTCCCGCGGATTTACCGTCACGTCGCTCACGCCGGGCACTTCGCGCTCGCGAAGGCTGGCGCAGCTTGCGTAGCGGAGCTCCAACTCCCTGCGGGGTTCTCCCTTGAAACTGTATTCCTGCCTCCGGGAGTCGGAAGTCTATTAAATCGGATTTAAAGGCGGCGGCGGCGGCGGCGGCGGCGGTGGTGGCTGGTTCGTGCAAGGAAGGAGGGCCTCTCACCGGGCGGATCGTCTTGGCGAGGATTAAGGGCGAGGTGGTCGCCGGTCGCGCGGGTTTTGGCGGAGGGAGGGGGGTGATGGTCTGCGGCCTCAAACGATGCCATGCGGCAAGTTAACGCTTCCAATAGATCTGCTGGTAACTTGAAGGGTATTTTTAGCTTATCGGGGCCGTTGGACTGTTTGCTCACCAATCCATCTCCCGCTATCTGATAGGCCCATCTCGAGCCAAAGAGGCCATTGGACAGGCTTGGCAAACATGCAACCCAACGCCAATGCTGATAAGAAGTGCCAGGTGATGCAGATAAGATTTGGGGTGGGGGTGTGGTTGGAATGCACTTGTGGCAGCTGATTTGAGAAATATAAATAAACGAGAAAATAAAGTGTAAAAAAAGAGAGAGAACGTGCTGACAAGAAATGGACCCGCACATTGATTAAAAACAAAACATCGTTGCTACGCTAAGATTATTCGCATACATTTTTAACGCGATCTATTAATACATAATTGAGGGAATGGTGTGGTGGTGTGAAACAAATTCATTACCATTATAAAAGGGCATCTGGTATGGGAGGATTTCAAATTAGCGAGGGAGAAGAAAAAATAATCTGCCGCGTGAACAATAATTACGTGAAGCAGTGCGCCGGAATAAGTGAGGGTTTGCTTTTTTTTTTGTTCATGCATGTGCAGGCCGGTGCACGTGCGTGCCCATTAAAAACCCTCGCACGTGCAGCGGCGAGCGCGCGCGCGTGCACGGCCACTCGCGTTCTCTCCCCTCCCGAGATTACAGTTCAGCGATGAGGTCATCGGACGTCTCGCTGTCTCGCTGGCCGCATCTCGAATATCGATGACTCTCGCGCATTTCCCACGAGCCTCGTGGCCCCTTCCCTTCCGAAACGGCCGTTTCGCGCGCGTGCCGCGACCTCTCTCCCGAGAGCGCGGCCACCGCCGCCGCCACCGCCACTCTCTCTCCTCCCCCCCCCGCCCCAGTCCCAGAGTTGGCCATCATCGCAAGTAGCGCCGCCATGACGACGACGATGACGATGATGATGAGGCACAGCCTCATTAACCTCTCCGTGGGAAATTGCTTGGGGGCAGGTGCTGCTCTGACCTCCCGGAAGCTCCCTCGCGTAGCCATCCCAGGTGGGGGGGGGGCATCTCAGGGCAAAGGCGCATCTGTGCAAATGTATAGATTTTTTGCACGCAGGATGGAACACTACATTTTTTTTCCCTTCATTTAACCTTAACGTGTCAGGCTCTGTTCTATTGGGAGATGTGTGTATTTTTTGCACGTGTGGTGCGTAAGTGTGAATTTGTGTGCTATTATCAGTGGCGACTATTTGAACCGGTCCTGGGCTTCCCACAAATTTGCCTTAAATGAGTATTTGGTGCGGTGTGTACACCAGAGTGTTGAGGAGACAAAGGTGGCCAGGTGTGTTGCTCGTGGTCTCGTAAAAACATTTTGCTTAACCAGTTAGCCCACGCATTAGCATATTGTTGGCATACATTTTTGTGTAACAATAAATTCTCAATCGATGATCCTATGCATGCATTGTGAGCACAAGAACCTATTTTATCCGATGAATCGATGCTTCGTTACACTCCTCGTAATCGCCAATAATCATCATCAGCCATGATTAATCCACTGCTGGATGAAGGCCACCCCAAGCCATCGCCATCCCTCACGGTCTTACAATGCAAAACCCACCCAACACCTGCACATCATAAACTTTCAACTTATTTTTATTTATTTTAGCAGGTAAGCCCCACCGTGCTATACAGCTCTTTTTCAGAAGCGACCGGGCCAACAGTGGTAGCTCAACGAAGTGGCATAACATGTGAAAAATTATAGCAGCCAAATACTTTAAATGCATGCTTCTAAATGTGGAAGGAAAAACTGGAAGACCCGGAGAGAAATCCACACAACCACGGGAAGAACATGCAAAGCTCCAAATACACAGGCGTCAGAGTCCAGATCAAACCCACGACCTCCTGCATACCAGGCGAGGGAGATAACATCTCGCCACCGCGGCGCCCTTAAGCTGAATTCATCATTCCATTGCCGCATCGGACACAACTCTCAGGCGCATTCCCACCTCCACCTCGGTAATTAGCGAAACGCGTGCGAAATATCTGTTTAGGCGAGCGGGCGGGTGACGGTACGTACCTGCGCAAGTCACTTTGTTTTTATAACGGTGACAAAACTCGCACAATTTTTCGTCGAAGAGGGGGTGTAGGGGGGGCCTTAACAAACAGGCCTTGAGTTGCCCGTAATTGGGGAGGGGGGGTGGGGGGGGGGGCTAGGGCGATCGGGCGTCCGGGGTGCTCGCGAAGAGAAGAAGAGGAGGAGGTGGCATCGTGATTTCGCGCTCGCGACAAAAGCTCGGCGTCGGGGCCACGGCTCGCTCTCCCGCAACGGGGAGGGGAGTGGTGGGGGAGGGGAGGGCCCGCCTGCCCGCTGCTGTGCGCCGCCGCGCTGTGCCGGGCCTGACGTGCCGATTAGGGGCCCCGCTCGCCGCCGAGCGGCTAATAACGAGACGTGAAACTGACAGCCGCTTCGATGTACTGGCATGTGTATCCCTATCGGATGTCGCTCTCTCTGCTTGAGTTGCCACCCCCCCCCTCCCACTCGTTCACCACACCGAGCCTGCCAACCCACGTTCCTCCCGTTCACACTTTGCCAAATTACTATTCCTGGGGACATGGACATGCTCACATGAATATATACACATGCTTGAAAGGAGAGGCGCTTACCCTATATTTACGTGAGCGCTATGTTTGAGGCTGACTTTTGTGCAGAACGCCACATATATATGTATCTATTCGGTGTCTGGGGCACATAGTTGTTACGTGCTGATGTATTATCATCATCATCATCATAGGCCACGATTAATCCACTGCTAGATAAAGAGCCTTTCGCCAAGTCGTCGCCATCTCTCGCAGTCCAGCGGCGTAACAGTCCAACAAATGCCCCCCCGCCCCCCCCCCCCCCCGATGTGGTTGGAACGATGTGACAGTAAAAGTGTCCATGTCAACTTCTTCTTGGTTGACGCTGTGGACGAGACGGCCTCACCAGGTTTTACAGTTCTCCGTGTTTTGAACGACGCGGGTATAAATTCTCTCGCGGGTGATCGAGTTGCCGCCGTCAACTGAGATGTGGAGCACGGGGGGACGGCGACAACCGCCGGGAAGAGTGTCACGGGTCATGGGAGGGGGTGGCGGGTGGCGAGGGGGTTGGGTGGGGAGGCTATGTCCGGTGACATTTGTGGAAGTAGCTAACGAGAGTGTGACGGCCGCCGATCTAATTTCAATCCGTGCTTCTTCCAGCGCTGAGATTCAAGCGCGGCTTGAGCAAATCGGCGTGCTTGGTTTCTGCCCCTAAATTAAAGGGGACGAGGCCGCCGCCGCCGCTGCCGCCGCCGCCGCTGCTGTGGCAATGGGTCATTTTATAGCAGTTGGCTGCCATTTGGAACACATGGGGGCCCTCTAAAAGTGTCACGCTTTGGTGGCTGCCTTTCGCTTTGGGCAGGCGTGCATGCACAAGGAGTGTGTGAGCGCTAACGGAACGAGCGTGCTCTGGGGGTATTTGTGGAGGAGCCCATTGCCCGGGCTTGCTCGCGGACTTGCACGCGCATGTTGCTCGAGCTGTGTGCGCGTGTGTGTGCGCGCGTGTGTATGTGCGTACGTGTGTAGTGGTTAACACGCTGCCCTACGAACCCGGCGACTCAAATTCGATTCCCACTTGCGGCCAACACCAGCGACGATTTTTTTAACTGGTCCTAGGCCTCCCCTAGGTTGACTCGGCCTCAAAGGAGTACCTGGAGTGATGTGTAAACATCGCGACTAGAGGACAAAGGCAGCCGGACATGCTCTTGGCCGCCCACCCGCTCGTGTGCCGTGCCGGCCTTCGTAGGTGCTCGCTAACAGCACTTGCCCCGACGGTATGCTAAGGCTATACGGGGGAATCTTTGTGTTTGCGCACGCATTTTTTCGGTGGCGATGGCACAGCGATTAGCACACAACGTTTAGGTCTTGGAGACCTGGGTTCAATTACTGTCCATCGCATTGCATCATTAACAAATAGCATCTACACCTGTCCTAGGCCTACCCCGAGGTCAACTTTAGCCTCATCACGAGTGCCTGAAACATTCTGTAAACAGCAGCGCTGGGAAGACAAATGTGACATGGTATGGTACCTTGGCAACCCGGAATGTATATCCACACTTGGCGCGCCACAT